AGCCAAAGTCGGACGCTCAACCGACCGGGTCACCCAGGCGCCCCTCTTACAAATTTTTTTAATGTTTATTCATTTTTTGAGAGAGAAAAAGAGACAGAGCATGAGTTGGGGAGGGGCAGAGAGCAAGGGAGACACAGAATCTGAAGCAGACTCCAGGCTCTAGGCTGTCAGCACAGAGCCTGATGCAGGGGCTTAAGCTCACAAACCACAAGATCATGACCTGAGCCTAAATCTGACACTTAACAGACTGAACCACCCAGATGCTCCAGCACATTTCCCTTTAGAGATGACTTCACGCTAATAAAGAGAAACGCTCTAATCAGAATATCATCATTTTTGCAGCTCCCAATGAATTAATGATGGTCTGCTAGATCACAGAAACCAAAGAATCCCAAACCAAATAAACAGTCTACTTGAATGAGTTTTCTGATGGGAGAAGTAAATACTACATCTGACACCTGAACTGGATCAAAAAATCTTTAGAACCAGCTGTCAACTTATAGAAAATAATAAAGAAGACAGAGAAATCTGTCAAACTACCCCAAGGAGATGATTTCAGTAATCCAGACTGTGGGAAAGTCTGGAGGTCAAATGACCCGGTTTCTTTTCAGAACACTTGGAAGTAAAAAACTGTGATATTAGAGATCACTAGAAACATGAACTCTGCCTTGATAGATTAAGGAATTATTGTTAGAAATAATGATATGTGGTTATGTTAGGTGTTCACGGATAAAATTATGGATCAGAGTATAGATAAAATATGATTGGCCATTAAGTTGGTATGTTCATAGAGGAAGCTTGGTGTGGATTTATAGAAGCTCATACTGTTGTCTCCTTTTGTTGTATATGACTGAAATTGTTTCATAAGGAAGTTGAAAACTGAATGTAAAATGGATAATTAGATAAAGTGGAATATTTGTCACACTTCACTATACTTAGAGCATATCTGAGGTTCAAGGGCACAAGGATTATACCTTTCAACTTATTTCCTGGAGTTTATATAAAGTCCAAATCCCTCCCACAAACACTGAGGTGTGTTTCAGGAGAAAATGATGAGCACCGTTCACTGTGGGGATACAAAGCAATGACTAGCTGGGTGTTAGAGGCATATCTTAAGCAGAGTCTTCCAACATAGGCTCATGAAGCACCCAAGAGACTTACCTTATGTATACTTTTTTCCCTTATACTTTTCCTTTTATTTTTTATGATTATTCTTATTTTAATTTTTTAAAAAATGTTTTATTTCTGAGAGAGAGAGACAGCATGATCAGGGGAGGGTCAGAGTGATAGGGATACACAGAATCTGAATCAGGTTCCAGGCTTTGAGCTAGCTGTCAGCACAGACCCCGACATGAACCGGTTTGAACCCACGAACCACGAGATCATGACCGGAGCTGAAGTCGGACACTTAACCAACTAAGCCACCCAGGCGCCCCTATTCTTTTCCTTTTAACTGATATTTCTATATAGACTCTGAACTCTTTTTCTCTTCTTTGTTCCTGATGTTGGATTCTACCCAAAATGCCCATTCCTCACAATAAAATCTAACCCTCTGTTTAAAGTTTTTTGAGAGAAAGAGTGAGGGAGAGCTAGAGCAAGGGAGAGGCAGAGACAGGGAGAAAGAGAGGATCCTAAGCAGGTTCTGCAGTGTCAGCATAGAGTCCAATGTGGGGCTCAATCTTATGAACCATGAGATCATGATGAGCCAAAGTCAGATGCTTAACCGACTGAGCCACCTAGGCACCCCTCTAAACCCTCTATTTAATGTCCAGCTCAAATGTCAAGTTTTCTTCACATTTCTGCACGCCCCTCCATCACAGCTGCCATCTGATGACCATCCCCTCTTAGGAGCCTGCACTGTGGTACTTGCTCAACATATATCATTTGGTTTAATCTCCCAGAAATTCTACAAGATCAAAACTATAAACAACCTCTACCCCTCACTTTGGCTCCATCCCACAGAAGAGTAAAAGTATCAAATAACCTGTCCTGTGTTACAAGTAAATGGAGCAAAAGGAATTGAAGGTGGGTTTGGGCAACTCTTAGATCTTCATACCACGCCAGGCTGCACATCTGGTCTAAAGCACAATGACACACATGACTGGTTGGTGATGCAAAACTTCATCTATGCTTTTCTTGTGGCATTCAGCATTATCTGCCTTTGTACCTTACCACTCATACCCAGCTTAGTTTCTCTGCTTTCAACTCAAGTGGCTCCAACTGACTGCTTTCCAAACCTCATGTGGTAAAGGAAAGCACCATTTGCTCTGCAGAGGAGTAGACAAATGTTACCAGAATGAGCAGAAAGCCACAGGCAGGAAGCAATTCTAGGGGAGTGGCAGGGGCTGGAGCCTCCTGCTAATTGGAAGCAGCTTCTCAACACAAGGAGGCTGAGCTGTCCCTTAGGTAACCAGAGCTGCCAAGTTAGAGATTATGCTGTGTCAGGATTTGGAAGTCTCTTATACACAAAGGTATTGACACAAAACAAGGAACCTGTGTTCAAGTATAATCCAAACTCCATATACAAAGATGGACAGACAACAAGAATATCTTACTCTGTTTTGTATGAAAATGGATGGTGAAACAAGCAGTTCTGATACGGTGGGAAGGGTCACCTTCCAGAAGATGTCAGCTCCCCTACATGTGCTCAGAACAGCCAGCCCTGCACTTGTTTTTTACTTCAAAACTCCTTGACTGTACTTTTATCCCTTTCTCTATTTTAAAATGAGATCGAGAACAAGACAAGTGATACAGTTTCTTCAGTAAAATCCAAGGAATGAAGACCGGGGAATATTAGATTGAAAGAGATATGAGAGGCATATCATTCCGGGGGGTGCCTGGGTGGCTCAGTTGATTAAGCATCTGACTCTTTATTTCAGCTCAGCACATGACCTCATACTTATGAGATCAAGACCCATGTTGGGCTCTGTGCTGAGTGTGGAGTCTACTTAAGATTCTACCTCCCTCTCCCTTCGCCCTTCCCGCCCAAGCTTGCATGCTTTCTCCTTCTCTCTCTCAAAAAAAGGCATATCATTCAAATGCAATGTGTGCCTTATAAGGGACCCTGATTTGAATGGTTGTAGGAGACTAGTAGGAAAATGTAAACAGCCTAGATACTTGATTATACTAAGGATTCATATCAGTTTTTTGGGGTACCATAATGGTATTGTGGTTATTTTGTTATTTAAAAAAAAGTCCTTTTGGAAAAATATTTACTTCGAAATAATGAGGGCAGAGGAGAGAGAAGTGCAGGGGTGTATATATGACACAGATTGGCTGTGGCTGGTAATTGTGGAAAGGTAGGGGTGATGTGTAACTGGGGGTTCATTATACTAGACTCTCTACTTTTGTACATGTTTCAAGTTTTCCACAATGAGAATATTTATTTTGGAAGCCTGACTGACAGGTCCAGTGTCTTCAAATACCAGATGGACCTTGCTGTCTTTCCTGCCCAGAACCCTTTACTAACCTCCCCTCTGAAATCCTTACATAGTCTGCATGGCACTGCCTGCCTCCCTCCCTCCTCTCCACTCCATCCATGCATGCCTGCCTTTCCCACAACACATATACCAGAAAGGCTTCCCAGACTTCAAATGTTTGGTTGAGTCAACTGGATATGTACTTGTCGCCATACTATTTCTTTTTAAGCCTGAGCTTTCTTACATTGGTCTGCTTAAACCTCTGTACTTCCTCCCTAAGACCCCCAAAGCCTCAGAATGTTAGCCCCTTACAAACTTGTCTGTCTGCTGTCATATTCCTACGCCAAGCATCATCTATCTGGTCACAGCAGGTTAGACAGATATGAATTCAGTGTCCTCATACCAGACAGAGGTAATAGGTCTTTCCCTTTGAAAACAAATAACCAGTAGTGCAGAATAAGGAAATTACAAACAAAACACACTTTTATCTTTAAAATTAAAATAAGGCCCAAGTCTCGGGGTGACTGAGTGGCTCGTCAGGTAAGCATCTTGACTTCTACTCAGGTCATGATCTCATGGTTCATGGGTTCAAGCTCCGGGTCGGACTCTGTGCTGAGTGTTCCAAGCCTAGAGCCTACTTTGGGTTCTGTGTCTCCCTCTCTCTCTGCCCCTCCCCTACTCATGTTCTGTCCTTCTCTCTGTCTCTCAAAACTAAACATTAAAAAAAATAAAAACTGAAAAAAAGCCTAAGTCTCAAAATTAATTCCCACTGCACCTACATGTCTACAATGCACTGCTTACTGTTGATCCTTGGAAAGTGTCATGTTCTTCTCTATGGAGACCTATTTTGTATCTTCCAAAGAGAATTAATAAAATATATGACCATATATAAGAAGCTGACTTTGAGACCTGGTAGAAAGGTGCTTTCTGGAACTAATACAGTAGAAACAAATGGTTAAGGCACTCTCAATGGCTCTCATGGCAACCAGAAATCCAGGCTATATGTTTTCAGAAGCAAATTCCACCTACCGCTTCCTCATGCTCCTTCCAGCAATCATAATCTGTCGCCATGGCGATACTTGCATAGCAAATTCCAGCCTCCTTAGCAAGAACCACCTCAGGAACCGTGGTCATGTTGATAACATCTGCCCCCCAGGTGCGGAACATGAAGCTTTCCGCCCTCGAGCTAAAGCGAGGTCCCTCGATGGTGACCACTGTCCCTTTTGAGTGGGACCGGAGCCCTAACTTTTTAGCAGTCTCTATGAGGACCTAGAAAACAAAGAATCACAGACTCAAAACATACAAATGTAAGTAACAGTTTAATATTTTGGTTTTTCCCCCCGCCCAATGTTCAACAAGTTAATTATTTAAGTATTTTTATATAAATGGCTACTACCTGGAGGCCCTATGACAGAGCCTGGGGGATCACACAAGTGTGTTTCCTGGACCTTCACCCTCCTTACATAATCCTGTCCCCCAGCACCTTGCACATATGACTTACAGCAACAAAGGCAAACAGTGAGCTTTTTCTATACACCAGGCATTTGTTTTTATACTTTAATTTCATTTATTTATTAACAGCTTGAAGAGACTAACCTGGGTTGTGAATATGGACTTGAGTCTCAGCCCTTCACCCAGGAGGTGGAGCTAAGGTACCGATCCTATTCACATCTCAAAGACATGCTAGGAACAGTTTCCAAGCTCCTGGATTGGTCTTTCAAACACAATGTAAAGACCATTGTAAAACCTTTTTTTTTGGTTAGAAAATGACTTCTTCATAATCTTTTTTCCCAAAGAAGAGTAAAAACAGAATGAGGCTGTGCAGGTTTTTTCTTTCTAGGGATAAACTGATCATGGCATCTCTTTCAATGGGAAGGCCATGCATAGATTTTAAAAACGTTAAAAGCCCGATCACTTTTCCCAGCATCTAATTAATAATGCACATCTAACCTTCTTTCTGGTTATTAATTTCTAGCCTGCACTTCAACATTCCTTTTTAATTAAAAAAAAAGTCCTAAAAAAAATTAAGCCTTTTAAATTTAACTGTTAACCTACTTAACCACTGCCAGAAATTCCCTTAATCTTTGTATGTCATTTTCTTATTTGTAAAATGAGATAAAGACTGTATTAGAGAAGTAGTGTGTAGGTTAAATGAGCTAAGGAATATACATCACAGAATTCTTTTGGGCATACTGTAAACATTGTGTAAAAGCTAAACCAGTCTTCTAACAATTGTTAATATTGACACCTTCTACACACATTTGCCAAATAATTGACAAAGGTTCCTGGGGTGCTTTAAATATAAAATGGAGAGACTCTATACCAATAAAGGCTCTAATTTAGGCCAAAGTCTGTCTAGCCTGCACATGTTGGAATCACATAGGCAAATTATTAAAGAATTTTAGCATGAGCTTTGGCAACTCCAAATTTAGAAGCATGACAAGTCACAGGGCATTGAACAGTTGATGTTCTATCATGTTTATTTACCTTAGATTATGTGGAAAATAAGACTACTCTTAATAAAAATATTATTATTAATTTAATAATTAATTTTTATTATTTAATAACAATACTTAGAGTACAGGTTATAAATTCAAGGACCTAAATCACTCCTCCTTCCCCTACCTACTCCTAGAACCCCCAAATTAAGATATAGCCAGCCCAGGCGTACCTTGGTGGCTCAGTTGGGTGAGCATCCAACTTTGGCTCAGGTCATGATCTCCCAGTTTGTTGGTTCAAGCCCCACATCAGGCTCTGTGCTGACAGCTCAGAGCCTAGAGCCTGCTTTAGATTCTGTGTTTCCCTCTTTTTCTGTCCCTCCCCCACTGGTGCTCCAGGTCTCTCTTTCAGAAACGAATAAACATTTAAAAAGATTTTTTTAGAAAAGATGTAGCCAGCCCAGTCCTGTCTTCATTCAATGTCTTTTAAAATCCTGAATAACCAACCTGTATGTCTGGGCCAAATTCAAGCATCTCTACAGATTAGTGGCGGAACAGCACTACTACATCGTACACTGGATTGTGGCAGGTGAAGTTCTCACGTAACTCTGGGAGGTAGGCGCATGATGGTGAGGAAAGGAAGTAAAGGCTTCTGGGTCTGGACCAGCTACAGTGACAGACCCTGAATCTTGTAACTTTACCCCCACAAGAACAGAGAACTCAAACATTATGTACCAGAGATTCAAACCACAGGCTGAGAGATCTCTGGGTCTGAGGCCAAGATGCTTTAATTTGGAACTCCTGAACCTACCATAATCCTTCAGATTTTATTAGCAATATTAGATCACCAAGCTAAATATATTTTATGTATTAGAACTTGCAAAGACTGCTTCAGATTACCTCCTAAAATGACAAGAAGTGAAAATATTTCGGGGGTAGAAGTGACATGGAACAAAAGATAAACAATATAAAAGGATATTCCGTGACAAGTATTTTTTCCACCCATGTCTTAGTGAGCTATTACACCTCCCAAGGGAAATCACCAGGTTTTTGGGTCAATTTTCCAAAAAGACTCTATTTGCATGTAAGTATTTTCATATTTACCTCTTTATATACAACACGAGTGGCAGAATACAGTACAACCATTGTTCATACCTTGTTTGCCACTTGACAGTTCACCTTGACAATCCTTCCTCATCAGTACATGAAAAGTCATGTGAATGTTCAAAGTTAAAGTGATAATTACCAAAGGGCAGCACCATCTACTCTTTACATTTCTGGACAATGTTTACAAATCTCTTTCAGAATATGTAGGAATAAAATTATATTCCAAAGGCTATTTTTCCCAAATTTTTTGTTGTTGTTAGAGAACACGCACAAGTCGGGGAGGGGAGCAGAGGGAGAGAAAGAGAGAATCCCAAGCAGGCTCAACATTCAACATGGAGCCCAACATGGCACTCAGTCCCAGGACCCTGGGATCATGACCTGAGCTGAAATCAAGAGTTGGATGCTTAACTTCCTGAACCACCCAGGCACCCCTTTCCCATTTTCTTAAACCTCCTTTCCTGCACTCTAAATGTTCGGGGCAGGGGGTGGGGTGGGGGGCAGCGGGCGCAGTGTCCCTTGACCTGACTAGACCAATAACTGCTGAGTTAATCTGGTCTCAAGGGAGGCCAAACTGTTACTGGAAACTATCACCAAGCCACCACATTTGCATGAGTTCTGAAGACATCATTAGTATTTCCCCTACCCTACCTCTACTCCTAGTACTATAAGTCAGTGTTTTCTCTGTGGGACAAGATCTCAAGCATATCTCTCCCTAGTCTATTTCTTCCCAAGCTGCCCCCATTTGGAAATGGACTAGAATTTTATATACCTCTGCTTACCCCTGGAAAACAAATTCATTACGTGGACAGATCTATGTCTCAGAGGGAAGACTAGCACCAACATTTTGATATATTCTGCTAACTACCCAGAAACACATACATCCAAATACAAACTTAACTTGCCATTTTTAAAAAACAAATAAAAAAATTACTTTCAAAGAAATCAGAGGGAACCAATAAGCTGTGGTGTATCTGAAATGGGTCTCCCTCTGACTCCTGGCTTCAAATTCTAGAATTCTGAAACCACGATGAGGTTAAGGTGCCCTTGCTATTAACCACAAGGAACCTATTTTTACACAATTATGCTGAACATAAAAGTTAAAAATCTACTTTCCATATGTAGGTGTTGAAATTATCTGAATGAGTAGCATGGTTATATACTTTCACTGCCATTTGTAGAGCTATCCCTGTAGTTCTGAGATTTTACTATAATCCTGGAAAGGAGGCTGGGTAGTTATAGCCAAACTCACTTCAAAGGTCAATGATACCAATCTGACAATTTATAGATTATCACTAGTAATTCATAAAAGCAGTTACCAGTAATTGGATATCTCATAACTGACACGTATAGTTCAAAGCACTTTATGAGTAATAATGCATTTATCCCTTACACATTTCTGTGAGATATGTGTTAGCATTACCTTCATTTTCCAAATGGGGAAACTGAGGCCCAGAGGCATTAGGTAACTTGTCCAGAAAAATACAACCAAGCACAAGAGCAGAGGTTTGATCCTAGAACCAGAGGTAATCTGGTTCTAGACTATACACTCTTGACTAATATGCTGTCTTATACTAAATTATTCTGGGCCATCAGTTAAGTGTCTGACTCTGGGTTTCAGCTCAGAAGATCATGCCCTGCGTTGGGCTCCATGCTGACAGCTAAGGGCCTGCTTGGGATTCTCTCTCCCTCTCTCTCTGTCCCCCTTCCCTGCTTCTGCGTGTATACACTCTCTCTCAAAATAAACTTAGAAAAAATAAAACTTAAAAAAAATAAACTTAAAAAAAAAGTATTCTGGGGCTCCTGGGTGGCTCAGTCAGTTAAGCATCCGACTTCGGCTCAGGTCATGATCCTGCAGTTTGAGTTCAAGCCCCGCTTCAGGCTCTGTGCTGACAGCTCAGAGCCTCAAGCCTGCTTCAGATTCTGTGTCCCACCCCCTCCCCTGCCCCTCCCACGCTCATGCTCTGTGTCTCTGTCTCTCAGTAATAAATAAATGTTTAAAAAATTTTTTTTAGAAAAAGGTATTCTGACAGCAAAATCAAATCCTATAAAAAGTAGCTTGCAACTTTGAGTGATTTAGCTTATAAATGACTGAGAGTCATGGTGGCATTAGTGACACAGGGAAACTCTTCATGAAACCTTGCCTAAGAAGGAAGTTTGAGAGGTGCAAGAGGGACCATGTGCTTAGCCAATTAATCTAACTGTAGATGCCACCCCAAGCCCTTACGACTTATTTTAGTGCACCTTCCAGAAAGACTACAAACCTCTCTCGTTTTGGGGCAGAATGGCTCAGCCAGGGGAATATGGCATACTCCTCTGGCACAGGAATGACTTCCATCATAGAAGGTCTGAGGCCTTTTGGTGGTCCTACAAAATAAAGTGAAAATGTTTTTGTTTTTTTTTTAAAGCCATCACTCCATCCTCTGGGGGATGGTGAATCAACTGTATCTAGGTCAACATCTTGGTGCTTGCTCCAGAATCAACAGCTCTGGATAAGGTGAAGGCAACTATTGGAAAACCCACTTTGGGATGGTATTGGGCTTTTTTGGCTCTGGGTTGGTGGCAAAATACTTTCCACCATGTTTGGTGACTGTGACAGGACAACCACAGCGGACTGTAGGTACAACTCAATATTGGGCTCGGGAGGCTGGGTAAACCACTTAAGAAGTCACTATAAAATTCTCAATCAGTGTAGATGTTAGAGGTCTGTACAGTGAACCCCATATATATCCATCGCCTGGATTCAACAGTTTAAATGTTGTCAAGCTTGCTTCATCTATTAGCTTTTCCATGATTGCAAATCTCAGACTCTGTCATTTTACCTCTCTTTAGATGGACCAAAATATCCATACTTTTCACTGCAATGTCATAATCACATCTGATAAAAATTATTTCCCAAGCACCAACTAATATACAGACCATATGCAAATTTCCTTTATGTCTTCCAAACATCTTTTTTTAAAAATAAATGCTTTTTTAGTTTCAAGTTCCAGACAAGGTCCTAAACTTACATTTGACTGGCCTGGCCTGTCTCTAATGAGAGTAATTCCTGCCCTGTTACTTTTTCACCCCCAATATTATTTTTTCAT